TATATATATATATATATATGTATGTATTAACTAGAGAGAGCAGTTGTTGGTTAACTCGAATGAGACCTGCGACCTAACAATGTTAGCCCGCGGAGTGTTTGTGGAAGAGAGAGAGAGAGAGAGAGAGAGAGAGAGAGAGAGAGTGCTCAAGGCATCGCCGTCCCATTGTTTTGTGGGGGAGACGTTTCTAGTTTGAAGCATGAAACAGCAGTGGCGCCACAGTCACCACCTTCCTATATCATTTAATTGCACTGTTGGTGATTAGATCTTTTTGGAACTTTTCACAGTCCAGACTCCATCTCGCATGTATACACATTCATCAAGGGAAGAGAAAGCAGATATGGACCGATTCATCAACATTGACTTCTCATCAGTACACAATCATCACCATCAGCAGCAGCACATCAAGGGCCTGTGTGTGATGTGGATAAAAGAAGAAGAAGAAGGGAGAAGGAAGAAAAAGACGGGTGGGGCGGACAGAGGAAGAGGTAGAACCTTTTTGCGTTTCCATCTTTGGTTAACAGCTAAACAGGAGTCACCTTTTCATTGCATGCTTGACGTAGGCGGATCGAGGCATTACAAGGATTCACCGCGACCTCCGCTCCTACTTCTCGAACTGCCCGAGCCGGTTGTCGGCCAGCATGGTTTTGTAAGCACACCTTTTGTACTCGCACCATGTGAACTCCCTGTAGTGGCTCTCCTCGCCTTCGCGCATCAGCAGCGACAGCGGTGCCAATCTCTCTCCGGAAGGTGGCCCCCCGAAGTAGATCATCGACACTCGAGACTTGAGACCATTGGCTAGAACCCTGTGCCTCACGCTCCTGAATCTCCCATTTGTCAGAACCTGAGAGAACACGACCATCAGCTCCCTGTCACACAAACATGAACAAGCCCACAGCAACACAGGGCATGCAGCATGAGCAACCTAGTTTTCGCCTACATGTATGAAAAGAAGTACCGATGCTGCTTCATCGGGGAGTCACATCATGCAGCAATGCGATAGCCAGCCAGAAGAAACCCCACACCTTGGGAATTCACCTACTCGGGGAAATGGGCGTCTAACGCTCGGGTTCCATCACCTATCTTTCGCGGAATAATGCATACGGGTGTCTCATATCTTCATCCGTCAAGTCATCTATGTTTCCGATCAGTAAAAGTAGGGCGAGATCTATCGATCTATACCTAAGCTGCTGTCTCATATCTCTCCCTCCGTAGTACATGTAGGATTACCCACTCTGCTACACGACATCAGTCTCATCTGCAGATTAACTTTGGTTCTAGTACATTATTGACTATGGATTTCCTTTTCCTACGGCAGAGGAGAGGGGTGGGGTGACAAGTCGACTGTGGCGTGGCAACATCAAGCTCAGAGCTAAACACGAATATCACACTGAATTGTCAAGTTCGGATGGTCCATGAGCTAGCTACCTGTAAGGAATCACCGACGTTGATGAAGAAGGCAGCTCGGTCAGGAAGGACAGAGACCCAGCTCCCGTCTCGCAAGGAGATCTGCAGCCCCGCGGTGTCGTTCGACCTCAACACCGATATTATCTGCGGGTCGGTGTGCTCTCCGAACCCCGTCACGACACCCTCCGACGCCTGAGGCATTGGGCACGGAGGGTAATGGTTGAACCTCAACACCGAATCACTCTCCTCGTCCATCACCATCTTACTGAATATATTCCTCGGCTCGATCTTCAGCCCTTCCGCCATCGACTCCAAAACCTCACATGCCAGCTTCCTCACCGCCGATATGTACTCGTTCAAAGCAGAGCTGCGAGACGACCCGCCATCAGCAAAGCGGCTGTCGGTAGCTAAAGACGACATATAATTCATCTCATCCTCAATTGCGAACCAACAAAGCAAGCTAGTCTTACCGGAAAGAGCTGGCGGAGGGCTCCGTGAGGACGGCCAGCGAAGCATGTGACATGGGCTTGGAGGTGATCTCCATCAGGAGGTACTCCACCCAGCCTGTATCACCATTACACCCGATATTCTTACTCCCGTAGCCGAAAGGAATCGCCGGCCCGACACGCTCCTTGTCTGTCTGCGGCAAAGCAAAGAACTTCACCGCCTCTTCTTCCAGCTTCGCAATGAGCTCCATGGGGATGCCATGGTCGGTGACCTTGAAAAACCCGAGCTCCTCACAGGCTCTCACGACGAGAGCCTCGGAGCCCGGTTGGGACAGGTTGATAACAGGAATACCGGAGTGGTTGTGGTTTGGTTTCTGTGGCCTCGTGAGAGAGACCTGCCCGAGAGATGGTTTGGTCAAGACCACCATGGCTTTCGGAACAGAGCAAGGAAGGGCCTTCTCTACAGGAGTGCGAGGGGCGATGGGTATGGCAGAGGCGTAAGAGATGGGTTCACTTATATAGAGGACAGAGGCCACCGGCCTACGCCTATAAAAGAGGGCAACGATCGAAGACGGTGGTTGAGGCTTCGATAGCAGAGTAGGGGGGCGTATGTATCAGTAGCGCTCTCCCTCTTTTTCTCCGATGCGCGTTGTGCCGCTGATAAGGACGGAATGTGTGACTCGGCTTTCGTGTACACCAACACCCTCCCCTCGATTTTTCATAACGTAATCATGACACACTCACATCTCTCGTGCTTCCTTCCGTGTTATGGTTACATTGGTCATGGCCCAAATAATATCTCTCCCACCGTGACGCCACAAGGCCAACGACCGAGTCCATGTTTGCGAAATCTTCGCCGACGTCCTCGCCGCCCCCTCCCCCATCGTTCTTCCGTCTCACTCTTTTTGAAATAATAATAATAATAATAAACAACTCCGTTCTTAATTAGAAAGCGTCCCATTCTTTTACTTCCCCGCTGCCGTGCCGGATTTCGATCGGGTATCCGCGACAAGTTCGCGTCTGCAGATCCCTTAGCATATTAGGCGCATTAAATAGCGTGTGCTTTTTTGTTCATGACGACCGCAGAGATCTTGAATACGCAGGCTGATGGCGGACAGCAGTGTGAAGCTACTGCGTTTGACGATGTGCTCGAATCTCACTGTCGAGTGGTTCGCCCGTCCCTTGTTTGCATGCCTGGATCACTACTGCCAGAGGACTTTGATCCGTTCAGTGTTGTAGCCTTGGATGTTAGATTCTAATTAGTTGGATCAAAAGGATCGAGTGATTGTTCACGTCACTAAACAACTGTGCTCGTAGGAGTTGACCGTCTTTTGTGACGCGTCGATCATGGTCCCTCGACGCATTCTTCTTCTTCTTCTTTTTATTTTTTGCCTCTATGATGGCAGGCTGGGCCACCGCAACTCTGACATATCTTTCTCGTCCCACACGTTTGCTGGCTCGGGCTGGGAGATTCTTTTAGATGTCAAAGCGTACTGCGATGCTCGTGATGTTTGACTCCGGATTAATCAAGTGCAGTGAACCTGTGAGGATTAGACACTGGGCTAATCCATTTCATAATCATGGCATGTAAGCGTCCGCCCCCTCGGACGATCTACCGATGTCAGTAAAGTAAGCTAGCCATCGGCGGTACGTACCTTGCGATGTGGAATCACTTTGTGCCGGGAGAAAGAAAGAAAAGAGAAATGAGTGACAGCAATGTGCAATTCCCGGGATTCCGGCCATACGAGGGCGTGTGTGTTTGTGAGAGAGAAAGAGAGAGAGAGAGAAGACGAGGAGATGGATCGAGTCCATATCACCCAAAAAAGTCCGAGGGAGAGAGAGAGAGAGAGAGAGAGGAGGAGGAGATGGATCGAGTCCATATCACCCACAAAAAAGGTCCGCGGGATAGACGTGTCGCGGCCTCATTCACGCGCGTAACAACATCCAGCAGCATCGTGTGAAACCTAGTCCGGGGGGGACCGGTGGTCCAAATAGACCCGAGTGGGACCCGGTGGATCGGGGACGGCCCGCCCGAAAAGGGCCGCCCACGGTGGTCCAACGACCGCGCGAGCCGATTCCGGCGGTCAGGACTCGACACGTAGTCCCGCCATCGACGTCTCGTGATCCTGAGGCCGGCCGACGTTTGCCGCCTGCGTGCCCTTCCCCGCCTGTCGGCTCATTATTGGGTGCACACGGAAGGCATCCATTCAACGATACAGATGGATGGATGTGTGGGTTGTATTTGCCCAATCCCAACCCCTCAATGACTTGGCAATTATGGGCTAAAGTCTCTCTTCCAGAGTACTGTCCCGTGCAATTATTAGTGAGGGGGGGGGGGAGTCCCGGCAATGACACCAGGTTCATCGGGAAAAAGAGCTGAAGCCCATTGGCTCATGGCTAAAGGTGCCATCGGGGCCTGGGGTAGCCTCCATCCCTGCCACCTATCATCTGATTTCGATGCCATATTCCTTGCCATCGATCGGCTGGCCATCGGTCACATTGTTTACAGCTCTCCCGCAGCTTGATTCTGATGGGAATTCGATGCTCCTTCCCCTATATGGACGATCTTGTTTCGGAGGGTGTGCAGTGTTCACCTCCTCGTTCAGATTCGATTCGTCGGAGCGCCTGCGTCGAGAATCCATAGGCAAAGATGGCTCATTTCGTGCAGAATGAATTTAATACTGCATCACTATGACCTGACACATCACGTCGATCATTCCCCGGTTCACTACTACCCCTACCTCTCCCACCAAACCCATCCCTGCCCTACCCACCCTTATCTTCTGACCGTACCACCTCCCCACTCTCCCACGACTCGACGCCCACAAACAACCCACGACTCCCGAGCCCAACCACCACTCCGCCCATCCGATGCCTGATTCCCGTCTGTGGGCCTCCTGCTCCCAGCCTGCTCCTCTTCCTCCGACCTTGTGACCCTCGGGCTCCTTCCCAACGACATCCTTCGTCTCAAGATGGAGTACCACGCCCCCATCGCTGCTGCCCCGATCGATGCATACCACCGATGCGGAGCGCACCGATCGGCCCACCAGTCGTTTGATAGAATGGCTCACGAGGACGTCGTCTGGTGGACCGTCCTCGGATCCAGCTGTAGTAAGCGCGGGCGATTCGACGAGGCATTGACCTATTTCCGATTGATGATGCAGGGCATCGCCCCGGATGAAGCCGCGCTGGTTAGCATCTTGTCGGCGGCGGTGCGATCCGGTCAGCTGCGTCTCAAAACTACATAGAGCCACCGCGAGTTCTCTTGTGAACTTGTACGCTAAGCTCGGGCGGATGGACTACGCGACTCGGATTGCCGACGGTAGAGTGGAGAAGAATGTCGTGGCAATGACCGCACCGATGACGGGCCATCTTCGCATGGATGATAAGCATGGCGCGTCGATGGTATATGGGAAGATCGTCGATTCAGGGATGGAACCGACTGAAAAGACCATCGGTGGTGCTGTCAGGGCCGTTTCAGGAACGGGTTTCATTAGGCTTGGGGCTCAGATTCATGGGTACGAAATGAAGATGCAGTTTGACTTGGGCGATCACCTTCTGAGCTGCTTGATTCATGTGGACAGTCTTTGCGGTGCTCCCAGCGGCTGTTCGACCAAATGCTTGTTAAAGATGTGGTGTCATGGACCGCCATGATGTTGGCCTACGGACGTCGCAGAGAGGGACATGCGAGCGGCCGGTGTTTTGCCAGACTCGGTTGCATCTGCTGCAATCCTCTCTGCTTGTAGCTCCTCTGGATCGTTGGTTGAAGGGTTGAGGCACTTCGATTCTATGGTTGTAGATCATGGAATCAGACCAAGCGAGGAGCATTATGCTTGTGTCAATGGCTTGCAGACAAAAGGATGGAAGTTAGAACAAGCACGCGCAGCGATAGAAGGTATGGCCACGAGAGGTGACACTGGCTTACGGGAAGCTTTCTTAGCGGCTTGCAAGGTTCACGGTAAGGTGAGCTATGCTGAGATCGCTGCCGGGAAAGCGCCGGAGATAGAGGCCCATTGATGGTTCGGTCAAATCTGTGGCTTTCTCACGTTCACCGTGACCTGCAGGAAGATTGCATGTTGGCAGCCACCACCTGAGGTAATCTGTTTGCCTGCCATTCTTTTATGCTCGCATACGGCACGGATACACAGACACACACAAGCACGCGTGCGTATACCCCTGCAATCAATCACCTCGTATACTCGGCGTCTGTTGTGCTAGCTTATCGTTCATTTTCTTTCTTCTCCTTTGATGAGAATAGTAATTCTGATAAGACTCGGCTGACGTCAGATGACGTCTCACGCAACAGCACCTGGTCAATGCAGACCGGAACGTCAATCGAGGCGCATTAACATGCAACCAAAACTCAATTCTTCACGCCATGCCAACATAAAGTCAGACGCTACCAGCCTGCCCCCTGCAAGCAGGCAACTCAGGAAGCAGTAAGCTTCCCTATAAATACCCTCTCGTTCAACAGAAAGAGAGAGGGAGAGACAGACACACAAAAACACTTCTTCATCTGAAACCCTCTCCACATCTGCTAACTTGATCATTAGAGGGGTTGGGCCGAGCTCCTCGACCCGACCTTTATGTAGGTGCGAAGCCGAAGGTCCCCTCCGGACGCACAAGCGAGGAGTTCCTGCCCGGAGGAGACAGCTACACCGTCCCGATCGGACACCGCACCCGACCGGCCCAGCGGGCTCGAGGAACGCTCCAGGGAGATCCCCGTCGTTCGAACCCGAACCGAGCCGCGTCGGCCCCGAGGTCACGGCTCAAAGTTGTTTCCCGCAACAATTTGGCGCTAGAAGGAGAGCCTGAATGCCGAGGGATCCACAGACCGACACCAACGAGCCCCAACCGAGGGGTCGTTCTTAATAGGGGCGCCGGTCACGCGTCCCCCGCGCGATCGGCTATAAGCAGACGACCTCGCCGCGACCTCAGAACGCTACTGGTGTTTGTTCAACGACCCGAGTCTGCTTCCGCCCGAAGGCGCCCCTAGCGTCCACGCACCCGCGACGGTTATCCGATGTAGTCCTCGTGAAAAGAAATTTAGGCCCTGCCTCATTCTCTTCCGAGCGAAGGTTCAGTATCTACCTGAATACCTCCCGGATCGCGGTTAGCCTTGGCCTAAATCCTTCTAAATCTACATGGCTCAGCCGAAGTATGCCGAGTCCACCTCAGCATGGCCTGCTCGCCTGAGCCGTGTCCCTCGGCCGCAGACTGCCCGAGTTCTGCCTCAGGACGGCCTGCCCGCCTGAGTCGTGTCCTTCGGCCTTTTGCCATATCCCTCGGTCGTAGATTGCCAAGCCCCCCTTAGGGCGGCCTGTTGCTCGAGACCACGCCTACGCGGTCTGCCCGCCTGCGTCGTGCTCCTCGGCTCCTCGACCCCATGCCCCGAGACTCACCTGTGCGGCCAGCCCACCTGCATCGTGCTCCTCGTCTCCTCGACCCCATGCCCCGAGACTCACCTGCGTGGCCAGCTCGCCTGCGTCGTGCTCCTCGGCTCCATGCTCACCGAGACACATTTGTGCGGCCAGCCCGCCTGTGTCGTGCTCCTCGTCTCCTCGTCTCCTCGGCTCCATGCTATCCGAGACACACCTAC